TGTCACCATCTTTGGTAACGGTCATTACGGGAACCTTTTGAATACCAAGTTCGGAGAGGATCTCAACCAAAACCTTGTGGCTGAGATGTGTAGAGTTTGAGGAAGCCAACTGACTCAATGCATCCGCTCTTTTATTTCTCGATCGTACAATATGAGAAATAACGCACTCCTCGAACTTATCTTTTAACTCGAGTACCCTCTCGAGGTATCGTTTGAGCTGCTTTCGAGGTACAATGGAACGCCGGCTAGAGTTTCCTGCAAAACAGAACCTCGAGGGGTTTCCTGAGGGTAAACACTCTGATACTTAAGTCAAAAATAGGGTTATGAGAGAACGTGCGTATGAGAATTGGTGCTAGAGATAGCGTCCCTCAATTGTGGTATAACCAACCCTATTTATAGGCATGAAGTTACTTGGGGGATAACCGAGTACTATTAGATTTTGTGTTGCTCATACCACCTTAACAAAGTCGGTTGGGCTCTTTACTCGGTTGATGGGCCGATTCAATATTGGTGATGGATATGGACTCGTCAGAATGTATATAGAACCTTATCTTCTCTTCTTTTCTTTTATTACTTTTGTATAAATTCATGGCCATTCAGCTTCCAAGTACAACCAAAATTTTCCAATGCCAATCGTTTAATCATGAATTCCTTTCATAATTAGTGAACATCATCTCCTCTCAGACGATGGATAAGCGATACAGTAAATAATGCATGTGAAGTGAATGTAGAATCAATTAGGTCGTTGGGATTTGGTATGAAATTTAAAGGATTCATCATATTGGAATATTGTTTTCTTGTGGTACCAACTTCTATTCTTGGCTAGCTAGAGTTAACTTTATACCTACCCAAATTAGAAATAACTAAGTGGACATTTGCTATCTCACGTACTCCTTCCATTTCAAAATGTAAGTCATGTTTTAGACTTTGCACGTATATTAAGGAGATAATCATCCAACAATTAGTTTATGTATTAAGTATCTGTTTTACCCCTCATTAATTATATTGGAATTATAAACGAGACTAAATGAAAATATATTGGCATCATTTATTGAGGGTAAAGTTGGAAAATAGTCATTAATTTGTCTAGAATTTGTAAGACGATCTATATTTTGAAAAATCTCACCAAATATAAAATGGCATACATTTTGAAATGGAGGAAGTACGAAGTTACAGGCCAGCAATTTGACTACCTGGCCTTTCACTAGCCTTGAGCATACTATTTTTAAATTTTTTATTTTAACGCGGAGGTTAAAAAGAAAAGATTTTTACGGATGTAATTAGTGAGTATTATCACTAGCCTTTGGCTAGCCTTCTATTAGCTTATTACTAAGTATACACTGGGAGAACAAGAAATATTGCTTATTTTGAAAAGAAAGTCTTTACTCTTAAATGCTATATTTTCACATCTTAAAAGGATATCGAGCGTTGAGTGACATGATGTTGTCCTCTCTTAAAAGAAGGAGGTATAAAGTTTATTTACACTCTTGGACTGTATTGGAAATTTGGACTGTTTCTGAATTATTCTTGTACAGATTTATTATCCTGTGTAGAGGCATAAAGTATATGCCGGAAATTGAGTGAAAGTACGCCGGAAAATGAGTGAAATCTGATGTGAAGATTGCGAGTCCAGTTCTGATATTGGAATGAAATTTACCATTCATCGAAAAAAGAAAAAAAGAAGTTTGTATATTAGGGAAAACACTTAAATTTTTGTTACATACAAAGAGATCGATGTCCAATTTCTAAAGAAAAATACGCAAGAATAGACATAAACCCTTTCATTTAATATATTTGAAAGGTGGCTTAACAATGGGAGTTGAAATGTGCAGTGGTGGTGATTGAAGTGTTTTTTTTTTTAGTAGAAAAGCTACGAATTGCATTAATTAAACAAAGCAACATCGTGCCTAAGAGTGATCATAATCTAATTTATGGACTTTTTCAATTCTACTGCGACACTTAGTCAAACTATTTTGTAATTGAATTAGTTCCCCAATTAGAACTTGTGCATTTAAGGAGAAATCCAATTCCTGCAAGACCTGTCCCTCAAGAGAAATACAATCCGTAAGGACCTTGAGTGTAGTGATGTCTCTGGAAATAGCTTCCTGGATTGCCATTGGTGAAGTGAAAAATGAATATTTAAAATGAAAATAAAAAATTGTATGGATAGGAAAATTTTTTTTTGCCTGCTTTCTTTTCTTATTTTTTTTTTTATATAGTTGAAGAGATAATTTCTATGATCGGGGATCAAACTTGGACATAGACATACAGGAGTAATTAAAATGTTTGTTGTGAGAGTTTTATCTCTTAAAATAGACCTATTCAGCCAAAATCTGGATTAGTAGGAGTAATAATTTTAAACCCCATTAAAAAAAGGTAATTTCTTTTTCATTTTCTATAATCCGAGACAAAAGACAATTCACTGGGATAGGCTAAATCGATGGGTGGTATTTCCAAGGTTAATATGGGGAAAATAAATCTTGTTTAAGATTGTATCGAGCCAATATCAGCTTGGACTTAACAGGACGACCCATTTGCAAATTTGAACCTCCTAATCTTTTCAGCCCATATCATATCTCACTCCATATAATTCTTTTATATATATATATATATATATATATATATATATGTATACATGGCATATAATAATTCTTTGATACCCAAGCGGCTGCACAACGAGCGGTAATACTTTCGAATACTTTTGTTTCCTGGTTTTTTTTTAAAAAAAAAAAGTAATGTAACAAAATAGTGTATACTGTATAATGTGAAATATCGGGGAAATGTAATTTATTGATCAACTCCATTTAGACGTGAGGCCATCACTTGTACTCAATTGAGTGATTGACACTTGACAGTAAGAAGTGACCATCACTGGTTCCGTGTGCGATTTTTTGGATAGTCTTTATATGTGTGCCAATTATCTGTTTAACTAGGTTACCCATGTCAATTATCTACCTTCTCTCTGAACTGCTAATATTTTGGGTTAGTACTAGGGATCGAACATTCAACAAATTTTTTATATGATTTTTATTTTGAAACGAATGACCTGGTGTAAAATATTTGAAGTGTTGACTCTCTTGTCACAACAGACAAAAGTGTTAAAAGTAGTTTTAGTTTCGAAATAATTATCTAATTCGAATATTTATTTTTATTATAAATTGTACTAAACATGAAAATTTAAACTGAAAATTATTTTAGACAGTCATTATGAAAACAAAATAAAGAAGGTAAGCTGAACAATTATAGCGGCATGGAGCTAGTAATGCAGTACTAGTACCCAAGTACCAAAACGCACCGGACTCTAATGCCCTACACACACACACACACAAAAAGAGTGAATAAAACTTTTCAATGCGCATTAACTTTTGATGATGAAAAAAAAAAAAGTACATCAACATCGAATAGAAGTCTTAAATTGATATTCCGATAATACTTTTTAATGAGCCTCAAAAGTAGAAATTATTTAGAGCTTTATGGTCCTTCACACACATGCTACTTCGACCAAACACTAATAATAGAAAAATAATAATGATAGATTATAGTATCTCTATACTTCTATAACAGTTGCTCCGTTGTTGGTTAAATTTCTATAGTTTCATTTTGTTTTTATTGGAGACTTAAATTAGTGATGAATGACTAGTGTTATAACAATATGTTTAGCACAATTTTTAATTCAATGATACTACTTCATTATGGGAGCCATAGTGTGTTTTCTTCCTCGTTGTCTTGTAGCGTAAAGGATAGGGCATGACCTAGCATAGTGGTATGCTATGAATTGTTATTAGGATGAGACTTAAAAACTAATAGGAGACTTTAAAAATAATTATTTTTTTAATATCTCTATGTTCAATTAGATCTTAAACACTTCTTGTTTTATACTTCTGTTGATATTAATGAAATCTGAAGAGCATATCTCATTTAGAGATTAATCATCAAACGAACTTTAATGTACGGCTTTCTTATGTGTATGTTTTTCTCCCTTAGTTCCAATTAAATTAGATTTGCTTACATATTCATGGCATAATTAGTATTGTTAATCGCGTTGAGTAGAAATGTTCATACAGCTAGACAAGAAGGCAAAATATAAAACTTATTCTTTCTGTTTCAAAATGATTATTTAGCTTAAATATTCAATTTTAGTACAAATTATATTAAAATGAAAATGGAAACTAGACAATTTTTTGGAAAAAAAAAAAAAAAAAACAGTCTTTTTGATAACTTCAGGATGAATCATTCGTTTCCTTCAGTTTCAATAACATTTCATTGACCAATTCCAACAAAAAAGGCAGTGAGGAAGGATCCCAAGTGCCACTTCTCCCTTCAAATCTCTGGGCACATTAATCTTGTTAGTGAGATGATCTTTTAATTCTCAACCATTAAAAAAAAAAAAAAACCATACATGTCTAGCTTTTGTTTCTCAAGTAGTCTTTTTGATTTGAGGAATTTTATTAACATGATTGTACGTAATTTCTCATTTTAAATTCTGTTGAGCAAAACCTCAGAAAAAGTGATTAGACATCGAACAAAAAACATGGAATCGGGTAGAACTTATGTCGTAGCACCAATATAAAGATTTCAGTAGCATGAGTCGATATATGAGGATATATACAGTATCTCATAACATGATATATACTGCTTTACTTAACTGATTTGATAAACAATATTTTTATTTTGGATTGCAAATGCTTTCTAAAGAATTAAAAAAAAAAAAGAAAACTTTTATTTTGAACATCTTTCCTTCTTTTTAAAAATTTTATAAACACTTCATTTTTAATTCCCTTAGAAGCTCTTTTTATTTTTTTTCACATTCTCTAATACATAAAACCGGAGACGCGGAAAGTAAAAGTATCCGCCACACTACCGTTTGCAAATTGCAAGATAATAGTCCACTAAATTATTTGATAAACACATGCGGAGACTCGCATTAGTCGCAATCACTCACATGCATGCACTATAGGTGAAATATCTCAAATACTACGACTTATTCAAGCTCACTTTATCAATGTACGAACTTCATTATGTATTTTTTGTGCTTACATTATTGTCTTCAGTTTATCGTTCCGTTTTGTCTGCATAAAGGACATATAGACATAGATCAACGCAAAAAAGTTACATTAATCTTTAAGGATTATTACTCACTCGTTTTTCTTCTCATTAAATTACATTTTCTTTTTCCTGTTTAGATTACTCCTTCTCTTGCGCGTTACATCTCTTATTTGTACTTTTTTTTGGTTCAAGGAATTCAATATAAAAATATCTTCATTCATTTCGTTTTATTGTGATCGTCCACTTTATGTGGTAGAAATGGGAGAGATGGGTTAAAAACATCCATTAGTTTAACATATAAAAGTCAAACAATTATTTCGAAACAAAAGAACACAGTCGTTTTATTGACTATAAGAGGCGGAGACTTTGAAGAAATATTACATGCAGAAGTGGCAAAAACACGACATGTTGTTTCCGGCATCGGTGGTGAACAACCGAGAATACAATATTATTCCGATCGATTACAATTCTGCATCATCGAATTCAATTCCTAGGTGCAATCCTACAACTGCATCTAGAATTGAACTTTATTTCTTGTACATGGAAATGACTTGTAAAATTACAGCACACATGGAAAAGAACCCCCCGCCAAAAAAAAAAAATCTAGTTGAACTTAACTTGGTTGATGAGATTCTTGGTCAACTCAATATCTTCCGCATACTTTTGATTCCTGTTGAATTCAATGACCTCAGCATACTCATGATTCATTTCAACCTCCTCCGCGTAATTAGCAGCAGCCACATCATAATGCAAAACATAAACGGTCGTGTCGGTGGGGGCCTTGGCTCCCGGAGCCACCGTGCCCTGGTAAGTATGGTCGGTGGAGACACCTTCCGCCAGCCGGAAAACACCGGAACCGCCGATGATGGGGTATTCCCGGTAAAAGTTGTCCCTCTTCTTTGGGCCCAGAACGCTGAGGGTGCTGCCGGCGTAAATGCCGTCGGTGAAGACGAAGTTAAGGGTGAGGAGCAAACCGATCTCTTCTTGGGACGCGAAGGCGAAGGTCCCCTGGCAACGGCCGATGATCTTGGAGTCCAGTGACGGCCCAACTGTTAATGGGCTGTCCATCACGTAGACCAGCCCGAACTTGGTCGGCGAGGCGTCGGTGATGTTGGCCTGAGCGATCGGAACGGTGGTCGGGTTTGGGCCGGTCATGATGTCGTGAATGTAGAAGTGAAGCCTTGTAAGCTTCTCCTGTGCGTTGGGAAGCCTCGAGAACCAGTTACCGACGCCGTTGGGAGATTGATCCGGAACGGCGTCGCTCAGTGGAGCTAAGATAAGTGCCAGAAGCACAATCACTAGTTTCATTTCCATGGTTTTGATTTTTTTTTTCTCTCTTTTTGTTTTTCTTGGTTACTTTTTTTGCTATTTGAAAATTGAGTGTATATTAATTTTAGAGGAAACTATTGGCATGGAATTGAAGGAAGGAGATGGTCCCTATATATAAAGAGAAGACTAGGAAGATGGAGTAGGTTGAGGTTTGGAAAATTCAGCATAAAAAATGAGGTCCATGATTGAGTTAAGGATATTACATTTTTTTTATATTATTAATTTTATTTTTGGGAACGTGGATAAATTTTTTTTAAAAAAAAATAATAATTATATTAAAAACAAGCACAAAAACTATACATTAGGATTAAACCATCAAACTCGCGACAGAACCTAAAGTTCCCTTATTAGGACACGGCTCGAATCCCGAACTATACAATACAATAAACCCACTAACATTATAAATCTATAATTATTTTTTTTGAAAAAAAAAACTATTAGTATAAGTTTAACTGGCTAAACTATTCCTAATATTTTACATCTTTTCAGGACACTAGTTGAACAAGGATAGTACAGATCATAACTTTGAGATGGTTACATCTACCTTCCTGGGTACTAAATTAATAAGTCACGAGCTGAAATGAAATAAACAATCCAGCACAAAAAGGAAAGGGACCTCTTTCGTTGTTCATACGGATTTTTATTTTGTTTTATTGTCATTTTCTTTTGGACCGATTTAATCATCGACTATATATACGCACATTCTCAAAATAAGACATACAGTACGTTTTATTGCGTTTTGAGACGGTCATATTTTTTTCAGATGTAAACATGTGCGTTGCTTCATGGCTGGAGAGATGTGGTACACCTACAAAATGAAGAAACGTATCACTTTTGAACGCCTCACAATATCAATTTGAGTTATGAATTTTCTGTATAGTGACTTAACAATATCAAAGGAAATTTGCTCATTACTTGTAACTTCTAACCACTAATTCTCGGACGTTCTATTTCTGGTTTAGATCCTTCAGAAGTTTAGATTAAGGAAGAGGTAATTAATATTGACAAGTCATCGTCATGATTCAGACTAGTGTATTTCTGACTTAATGGTTTATGGTGAATGATCAAAAAATACGATGTACTCAAGTTCGGGATTCGGATCTTTTACACAGAATTGGAGGGTTGTTTAGTTTGAAGCAAGTTTTATAGAGAAGCAAAGTTTGCCGTTATTCATATGGCAGATCTCGCTACAAAATGCCCCAGAGGTTTGCAACGATATGTTACACCGTCAAGAAATGTTAGTCATTGGTTAGGACATGATATCTGTAGTATTTTAATTTCTTGCAATTAGATCTTTGACTCATTCATTGTACCTAAAAAAATTAAGACAAAATGCACTTTTGGTCCCCCAGCTTCAGGGAGTAGCAAGATCGAGCCACCATAAATTTTTAATTGGTGAAAATAGTGTCCTAAAATATTTTTTCCGTCAATTTTAGTCGATTTAACAGAAATTTTTTAAACTTAACGGGTCAATCATTTTTGCTGTTAAGTTCTTAATTTTTTTATTAATTTTCATAATGGTGGAGCCCACTAATTTTACCCTAATAATTTTCTTTTGTTTTTCATTTTATTAAAATTTAATAAAAAATTTAATGGTGGGTTCATACTCGTGGGGATCCGCTATGCTGGCGTTCTTATACCGTTAGTTAGGGATGGCTAGTAGGGCAAAGAGCACTCAGTTATGCGGTTATTTGACCCTACTACAGGCTTGGATTTACGAGTATTTTCCATGCTTCCGCCCCAGGGAGGGCGAGTTATACGTAGGGGTAACGGCAGACCCACAGTACATGACTGGATACCACCATCTTATGTGGGGCCGACATCTGTGCCAGATCGTCTTTATCAGGATAGGGAGCGTCTCGACAGGTTGAGCGAGAAAGAGATACATAATTTTTTATTTTTTTTGTCGGTATTTCATTTTTGTATAAAAATTAGATTTATTTTTGCCGTAATTTCATGTGAATAAATAATATTTTGCAGTTCAAGTGGCAGATATTTGGACCCGGCCAACATGGAATAGTTCTAAGGACTATCTACAGTGGGTGGATAATGTATAGGAACTACCAAGAGCCATAAATACCGGACATACTTATACGTCAGATTGGCTACATACAGAATATTTCTCGTTCGCCCATGTCCCCTGATAATGCATTCTCGAGGACCCAAAACTGGCCAGTACTTTGTAGAGCATTCAGCCGTTGACACATCTAGTAGTTGGAGGAGATTCCCAGAGTCAGTGTGTATTAAATTTGGGTTTGAGGCGCTTCAAGTTCGATGACATCATAGGAGAGTATGATGAGGGGTACCTTGAATGGTATAGGTGGTATTCACATCTATTTCTCCTGCTGACAACTGACTCGTCTCCAGTTTCCACACCAGCTAAGAGCAGTCAGGATTATGTAAGTTGTATTTCTAATTACTAATTTTTTGAGATAAATTTATATATGTTATATAGTTTAACCTTTTTCTGTTTTTTTTTCAGTGGATGAATAAATTGAGAAAAATTACTAAGGACCTGATTAATAAAGTGAAACTCTCCGATTGCAATCTTGCTGATGAATATGATGAGAAGCTGCGGAACACGATGGTCCGTTATTACAAGGCCTTATGAGCATTATCACTGTCGTATGATTGTGTTTTATTTTCTTTCCCTTAAACTAGAATTGTTTTACTGTTGTTTTCTTGGACTGGATTTGTTTTAAATTTTTTTTCTTGGACTGGATTTTTTTTGAACTGGATTTATTTTATTTTTATGCAAGTATTGTGTGTTATACATTAGTTAAGGTATTTTATGGCACAATACACAAAAAACAAACAAATTAGGTAATAGATAACACCATCATAATAGATAATAGATAATACCATCATCATCATCACAAAAAACAAACAAACATTGATCTAATCTAAGAAAGTAAGATCAATGTCCACATCATCATCATCCTCTGGTCGTCGAGGATTGCTGGGGACCAGCCTATACCATTTATTTATTCTAGCAACAAGTGGTAATTCCCAACCAACAACGTTAGGATCATGTTCCTTAGTCCACCTATTATCGATCGGTAGAACTGGAAAGTCACCATACAAATTTATCTGAATGAAGTGCTTATAAATACCAAGGTGACATACCCCAATCTCATAAAGTGGACATGTTGCCTAACCGTGTGCAATGAAAGGTAGTATAGTCCAACATGTGCTGTTTAGCGGTTGTTTCCCGTCTCCTGCACTGTAATAGTACACAATTGCATTGTTCATAGTCACAACCACTTACAAGTCCGTCGTACACATCCGATAGCGATCAGGTGCGAAACCTTCTCCACTCCATCGTATACGACTGACTTCTTCCTGCACGTAGGTCCTGCATTTATGTGTATAATTATTTGTCCAAAATACTGTAGTCTATGAAACACAATAATATAGAAAATGAAAAGGAGGTATACCCATAAATTCTCTTATACATATGCCAATTCTCTTCTAGCTCGGTCGCCATTGCCTCTCTCACCCTCACCCAATGGTCCTGGCACAGGAACATTTTACTCACTACTACACAAAATCCACAATTGCCATTGGCAGCAACATCAAGGTAATCGGTAATATATTCCCAAATGGGAATGAGGTCGTAGCAACTAAATTGTGAAATATCACTCGCAAAAATATTTATAAATTACACGGAACAACTGTTAATTGGGGGGGAGGGGGGGCGATCTAATCATTCAATAAATAAATTATGGACGAAAAAACAAGTTCTTAATTTGTACATGTGTCTGCATCGGTACGAGCGCCTGAAGAAGAGAGGCGCTTCTTACTTGAATCGCTCGTCACTGTGGTCGACTTTCCTTAACTGTCGTCCTATAATCCCACACATTAGGTGTTGTTTTTTTCTTTGATTTAGCCCCTTCTGTCTCTTGACCTCCTCGGGTTGTTTGGACCCACACTGGTCTGGATGAAGAATATCGTGGACAGCCCTATTTACCATACGTCGTACTGCTTGAGGATACGCGTTCAGCTCTTTCATCAACTATCTGAAACAAAGGACATCATCATCGACATCTCCCGAACCACCAGTATCAGCATGTTCACTAATATTAAGGGTCGCCCAGAATGGGTGAATATGTTTGAGAGTAATCGGTGTGCCGGCATCTGCAGCCTTTTTGTGGGCGCACGCACATGGACTTCGACAAGTCCATTAAACCACATGATCACATTTATCCTTCACTCCTTCTTTCCACTCCTGCACTTTCGACCACTCAGTGTTCAGTTTTTTCAAACAGTAATGTGAAACTTGACACTTCAAGCGATTCAATGGAAAATCGCAATAATGGGTGCCAATTTTCTTTCTCGAGTATTCCAGTTTATACCTGAATTTAGGATTACATGCATGTAACCTTTAAATGTAATACATTTTTTAAATGTCAAAAATACTAAAAAAATACTAAAAATATAATAAATAGAACATAATGGAATAGAAGATACCATATTTCAGTCAGCTGAGTCTGAATTTCTAAGTGCACCTTAGCTCAAAGTGTATCCAGCGACCCAGTGGATGTTTCCAGCCAATCTTTTAACGATGTATGCGCGCTCTCCACTCTACCTATAGTAGTGTTGCCTATATGAAACACACTATTCGTCCACACCTTGATGAATTTTTAGTTAACCACTAATCATGTGTTATGGATATAATGAAAACCTCTCGGAAAATTTAGCCCACGACGGTTTATTACGGCAACAGCTTTATTGTATTTCTCTTGATTCTCGACTTCCACCACGTCTTTTCACAACCCATATGCAAAACCATTTGCAAGCTTAGCGTCAATCTCCAATTTCTTGTTGAGATGTCGCTCTATATGGGAAAAATTGGTCGATCTACCCAAAGGTTGAACTGCGTTGTCAATTTTACCCTATTCTTTTTCGATTAGCCAATATTACCTTAAGCTATCCAACCATTAGCCGATTTTGTCCAATTGACCAATTTCCGTTTAAATTAACGAAA